GAGATGCTGTAAAAATTGCAACAGCATCATCTTTATTCTGAGATTTCTATCACTGTCATGTCCTGTAGACCAGTTCCCAGACAGTGATTCACGAAGGTAGTTCAGAACCCTGTTCTAGTTTCAAACTGCATTAAAATAGGTGAATATTGAAAACTAGTGACGATTAATAACTGTAATTCAAACTGCAGATTTAAAATTGCATTGTCACATCATTTTATAACAGCCATTGATTTTAGCAGTTTAGTTGAAATATGATACCCTTTGTTTTGCAACTATCTAGTCATCTCTTGCAGAACTTTCTGAATTGCCCATGCCAAACGTTCAGAGACCTGAGCTACCTATTTGTATTTTGCTTTATTTGAAAAGAAAATCATTAGTTCCTGGCATTTCAGAATGGTGGTTCTTCATAATTCCTGTAAATTGTAAGAGATACTACTTAATGTCTAAAAGACTGGGAACACCTGCTTTAGAAGCCTCTTAAGAAGTGTCCTTTCTTTCATTATAAACATAATATAGGAAATCTGGAAAGGATAAAAACATCTTTTTGAATTAATAATAATAATAATAATAATAATAATAATATTTATTGAGTCACATATACAATTACAATCGTGTATGATGAGTCAATATGATGCCTTGGGTGGAGAGAGCGAAGTTATATTACTGTTCAGGAGCAAACGAGCGGCCATCTCAGCATTTGCTCAAAGGACCAGGGAAACTGAACAAAACCTGATCGAGATGGGGTCATTGGCCTAGAAATACAATACTTGTTACAGTTAGATTAAGATATTATACAGTAGATAAATTATCTGCTAATAATTAACATTTCAATGTTATTTTAATGCTACTACTTATAATAATTATATTAATAATAATTACATTACTAATACATATCAGTTATGTCTGCAACTACATCAAATTTAACAATAGTAGTACATTCTATATTTATAACTTGAAAATTATTTCCAATGCCTGCAGAAAATGAAATCTACAGCCACGTGCGAGGTATCGAGAGTTTTAATAGATTCCTAGGAACTTAAGAGAAATCCAAGAATGTCTAGTACATTAATAATTTCCAATACACACAAAAATTGAAAGTATACTATATTGCCTTCGGCCATGTGAGAGGTGGCTGTGGTTTCATTAAATATCCAGGAATTTAGGTAATTTTAAAAAACAACGAAACACCTTCTATTTTGATTGGAAAATGCATATATATGATTATGTTATTTCACTTATTTTCATATGGGTGTTCCGACTAATTTCTCAAACGCAGAGTATCACTGCTTACAACATGGCTGACATTTGACTATAACACCCCAAAGAGGGACCACCCTCCATTTGCTATTCACATGTTACATTATGGAGCAGCTGCTTTTTGATATTCTTGGTATGAAAATAACTGTTTATATATACAAACGGTGTTTAAAATAGGGTTTGGGGTGCTACAAATTCCACACACTCCTTATTCTCCAGAGAAAAAGAGCTTTTTTTCCATACTTATCAAAAATACTTTTAATTTATGTGCAGTTAAAGCTTTAAATCTTTACGTTAAGAACCATGCTTCAAAAAATAAATACATTTCATTGCGATCAGCTAATAGGCTCGCTTGTGCCCAGAACGAAGTCGCTCGCCTTTCACTAAGGAGGTACGGGTTCGATTTCGGGACAACCTCATGTGAAATTTGTTCAGACAAAGTGAATGTTGCTGCTTTACAAGACTAGTTCAACCCCAGTGAGGTGTCCTAAACCACTTTCCTATATCCTGACCAATTCTGGCCGTTGGGTATCACGCAAAAGCGCGTAAGAGGCGCTTTTGCAGAGATGCAACTTGGCGGTGCTCTTCACGACTCTTGACACGACTTACGGACTACATACGGATAATATAAAAGTAATTTAATGGAGGATAATCCATACAAAGGAAAATTGTTAGTTAACGGAAGAATTCTTCTTACATACGTTCTACGCCAAAGTCTTGGCTTGTAACAGTGAACGGTGTCACAAAATAGTGCCAAAATGTCAACCCCCCAAAAATTATTATTTTACAAAAATCTATAATTCCGCCTCCCCACACCAAATGATCGGTTGTATCCGCCCCTGTTTGTTCCTATTGTAAAATACTTTCAGGTTCTATAGTTAAAATCCAAGTTTTGTGAATCAATAACGAAAAATCGATTGATGGCAATACATGCCTGTGGTCAACGGAGTTTGTGCAACATCGAACGTTTAAGCACTATCGATCTTCTACGCATGCACAATTTTAAGTTTCTCATCATAGTATACATGCGCATGTGCAGAAGATTGATAGTGCTGCCCGCTGAAGTGTACCCAAACTCCCTAATGCTAGCACTCAAATCGTTCAGTCGATTTTCTCCGAAATAGATTTTCCTCGATCGATTTAAAGGAACTCAAGGCCCTCTAAATTTAAAACAGATATCTTTATTTTGGGGGGGGCTTTACATTAAGTTTCAAAAACATTCTCAATATTTTCTCAAAAAATAAATGCTGAAGCAGGAACTTTTCGAGTACCCAAATTAAATTTTGAAGTGGCCAATTACAGAGTTGCTTGTATGAAATTCTCAATATTTCAAAAATTAAATTATTAGGGTACTGAAAAATCACCTCCGGCCTATAGATAATGAGACAGAGCCGAAATAAGTGATTTTTGTGGAGTACAGTGGTACTCTTAGCTGTGACTTGTTCCCATGGTAGTTACCACAGGAGGCCCTAAATAGTAGGTCCCTTTGGCGCCGATAGATGAAACTTGTAAGGGGGTGGGGCAAAACCGAATAGGTAGCTCCGACCCAAAATAAAGTGGTACAAGGAAGTCTGTGCTATTTTATATTCACGTGTCTGGTTGAGATTTCACAAACTCAATTTCTTTGTTTTTCCCATTGTGGTAAATACGAAGCGATTTAAACGCAGAAGGCGTGGAACTCGCCGGTGCATCGCGCCATATTTCATTCGTCGGTGAATGAAATGTGGCGCAAGCTAATCTGCCGCACTGAACTCAGACCGAAATAAAAGAGTTTATATATCGCCACGTGTATGTTTTACGCGAATCGCTAGCGACAGCAGCCGCTGCGCTGGTGATTTGGAATCTTTAAGGAGGAATGCTAGTGGTAATGAGGATAAAATTAATGTCAAGGCTAGGGTTAATTGACGTTAGTGAGTATGAGAATATATCGCAGTAATATCTGGGGTTCCCGGAGAACTCAAGAGGCGTGAGGCAGTAGATACAAGGACTCGCATTATTTCAAACGTTCAAAACAGAATTGTTAAATATGTTTCAGATAATTCTCTGATAAAAATGAGCAGTTTGGCTTTTTTTCGTGCGGGTCATAGCACAACGCATCAGCTTGTGCGAATCACGGACCGCATAAGACGCAAATTCGAGGGTTGATTTACAGGTGGAGTGTTCCTCGACATTGCCAGCGCCTTTGACAAGGTTTGACATGTTCTCCTTTATAAACTTCAATCCATGAACTTTCCTTTGTACCTTGTGCATCTTATCCACTCTTACCTAGCAAAAGATCGCTCCAAGTGACGCTTCTGAATGCTAAATTCATCCATACGGGCCGGCGCCATGCAGGCCGGCGGAGTGCCGCAAAGGAGCGTGATTGCTCGTACGCTCTTCAGCCTCTGATATTCCCACGCACCCTCAAACGGAACTCGCTTTGTACGCCGACGATACGGCTGTAATAGCCACGTAGAAAAAGACCGAGCTTCTCCGGAAGTACTTGGATCAGCATATATTACAGATCCGGGAGTAACTGAAGCTGTCAAGGGCAATGGGAGTATGAGTGCAGCTGCGCTCTTCACTCGGAGATGGCGATTCACGCTGCCGAGGCCGCTCGCGCTATGCGGAGACGCGATTAATTGGGCAACACGTAAAATATTTAGGTGCCACTTTAGACAGCCCACTTACTTTTAATCTGCAGATTGAAAGCGTGCGACAGAAAGCGCGGCAGACCCGAGGCAGATTACGAAGCCTGTTTCACAAGCGGAGCAAACTGTCAACGGTAAACTGCCTCACACTTTATAAAGCAATTATTAGGCCGCAACTGGACCACGCATGCCCTAGTTGTGCAATTACAGCAAATACACATGTGAATAAACTGCAAGTAGTTCTAAATGAATGCCTCAAGGCCGCCCTCTGCGCCTATAGATACATTCCAATTAAAAACTTACATCGTGATTTATCAATGTCACTGCTGATTGATCATATCAAAAATATTGTTTCTAATTTTTTTTTAAATCAGCTCACTCGGAAAACTCTCTCATTTCTGTGATCCCCTCATTCCAACCCGATCAACGGGTGAAGTATAGCCGACCGAAGCACTTCCTGGAGTAAGAGTAATCTGAAACAGAGATATGAGACTTGAAACATAAACTTAGCATTTCTGCACACGCAGTGCGCACGCTAGTAGGCTAAAGTCATTTTTGACCTTCTGTTTTTCTTTGCGTTGCAGGATTGGCCATAGACACCTGTAAGGGTAGGAATGGTCGCATCGCAGTGGCGTGAACGTACATTGCACTTTCCGCGCGTTCACAAAACTGCACAAATTGGGCTCTGCAGTTGTTAGATCGGTTACTGTTGCTACAATGGCAGATTATCACGATTTAAGTGATTTTGAACGAAGAGTTGTAGTCGGGGCAACTGAAATGGGGAAGAGCATCTCTGAGGTCGCGATGAAATTTCGATTTTCCCTTATGACCATTTCATAAGTGTGCCGTGAATATCGGAAGTCCGGTAAAACATCAAACCTCCGGCAACCTATAAACGTTTTTTCATTTATGAATAATAACGTATTCGTTTCGTTGTAAGTTGCCGTTGCTTAACAATTAACATAATCTCATATTGAAAATATTCGTATTTACAACGGGTCATTTAAAAGTTCCGCTCTTCTGAATTACATTTCCTGACAAATTATTGGTGACTAAATATTAAAGAGAAAGTCACGTGCACAGGGACTGTAGCATTTAGGAGCTTTCGGATTCGTGGAGAATGCTGGATGAGAGGGAGCGTGGACTATTGAATACAAAGAGGGTGGCCGAGAGCGGGCCTGAATTTTTAATAGATTGTGCTAACTGAAAATAAAATAGCGTTAATATGATAAAAAAAATTCATTTTTGGTATCAGAGTTGACTTTCTTACATATTTAAGAGAATTAAAGCAATGAAGAGGGTGCAATCTTTTTTTACTGTTTCCCGCCAGAAATCGAGGCTCGTATGAAAGAGGTGTGGAAGTTCAGATTCACAACGCGTGCGAAATCTGTGAGATCTGTCAACCCTTCAACATAATTGATGGTACAAAGTGTTGTGTTTGGGGTGTAATTTTGTAACTGAAAGAGGGAGTACTGTTGTGATTGACAATGTCCCAAAAAAATACTTTATTTAATTATTTTGTGTCTCCGGCTCGAAAGAACAATGAACTGGGCTCGCCTAAAACTACCCCTGATACGAACAAAGATACGAAAACTCCCAAAAGTAAATTAAAGTCACCGTCTACGCCAAGAAGTAACAAAGTTACTCCAACATCATTAAGTGTCAATAAGAAAAGTAGCAAGGTTTCGGAAAAAGGTGGGTGATCGTAGAATATTATGTTTACATATATTGGTGCAAGGAAATAACACTGCTTTAGTATCCAATCTTCTAGTGTCACTGTATGAGAATACGTTCTTCCAACAATCTGTCGAACTGCAAACAGTTAAAAGATACTTTTAAAATAAAGCAATTGTGAAGGTATATGAGATTTTTAATTTTTGTACCGTTTGAAATTGTGTATTTTTTGTTGTATAATTAGTTACCAAATTCTTCAGTTTATGTAAGCTAACCACCATTCAGAAAAATTGTTGATTAGGAAATTTAAGTGGAAAAATTCTTTCTCTTCAGCATTTGAAATATGTGATGTTGTGTGGTCCAAGCTTCATGGATATCCATGGTGGCCAAGTTTAGTGTGCAACCATCCAAAATTGCTCAAGCACATTAAAGGAGATTCAATTCATGTCCAATTCTTCGATGATCCACCTACAAGAGCATGGGTGAAAAGAGCTTTCATTGAACCATACAAAAATAGTGCTGATAAAACTGCTCCAAACAGAGATGCTGCTAAGTGGAAAAATGCTGCATCAGAAGCTGACAAGGCTCTTGAAATGTCTGTAGAAGCTCGTAAAAAATTGATTGTTGCATTCTCTGATCAGGATGGAAGTGAAGAAGATGATGCTTCAATGGATGTTGGTGAGTTGGATTGAAATACACAACTAAACTGCATAGTAACATACCATCATTTTCAAATAACCATGCGCTCTCTTGCTGTAAGATCATTGTTCTCAAGGATATTTATTTGTGAAGTTGGTGTAGGGTAGTTTAATTCCAATGTGGGTAAAGGGAAAGGGACTGTGTGTATATGACACTGATAGCCAGTAGTAAGGTGGTGTCTCACTATGAAGACCCTCCCATATCCGTGTACCATTCCACTGCAGAACGGTATATCTTTTAATGCATTGCACAAATAGTACAAGGCTATTGCATACATAAAAGACACTCCACAAGACTAAAGTATTAAATCTGTGGCTGAAATGTAGTGTACGGTACAACCTTAGGAAGTCATTTAAACCGATTATAGTGAGGAGTGGAAGGATGACACACATACACGCACACAACATACCCATGGGACTTGAACCCATGATCTTCTGGTCCAAGACCGCCATGGAACTACTGCCTTAACAATCTCAGCCATTTGATCAAAATTATTGTTGTTATTATTATTATTATTATTATTATTATTATTATTATTATTATTACAGTTATTATTTATACTTAGAATATTTTTATATCAGTCTTGTGAAGTCTTTTATGTATGTTATATCCTTTTACTATTTGTGTTCCTGAACCTGAGCATCTAGAGATTTTCCCCTCTTCATTGGCAGGAAGGAGTATGGAGTTAAGAAGGTGACCTTTTGTTTGCATGTGACAAAAAATTATATTGAACTTTTTCAGAATTTTTGATGTATGATTTATAATAATGTGTCAAAACTGATAAGGTATACTTCATAAGTGCTGACCTAATGATTGAGTTATGTTTTAATGGAAACTTTTTTGGAGATATGAATTTGTGATATTTTCTCTTTGGAAACCAACATTTGAAGTTAATTTGTAATAAATTTATCTATGTATTTATCAAAAATAACTTCTAAGTTGGTTAGTGAATTGTTATGTAGATTTTAAGTTTTCAATTTAGTAGGTATTTTCTTTTAATTTTCGGAATTTTAAAAATGTCATCACTTAGCTTTTAGAAATATTAGGGAAAAGTTAATTATAATACCATAATTTGTTAAAGGAATTTAGAGCCTTCAATAGTGTTAAAACCTAGCTACAAAAATGTGGTGCAAATTGTGATTTAAACTTGCATGAGCTGCAGGTGCTTCAAGCTGTAACTAAAATTCAAGGGCTTCTTCGGTATTGAGGAGAATTCTCTTCAGAAACTTCAAAAAATATTTCTGTGAGTAGGAGCTCTAACGTTTCCTGCCTCTGAAACGAGGGAAAAAATTGAATACCTCTGTTTCAGTTATTGTTTTGTGTCCCAATCATCTTCATATTTCTCTATTCAGAGATAAAGACACTTATTGTTAAAATACAATAGTGAATGAATATTCTTTGAAACTTTTGACACTTTCCTAATGAATTTTACCATACAATTTTTTATTGTCTTCCCATATGTTCTAGATACTGATGATGAAGCTGTGTTGAATAGTTCTGGAAGCTCTGCAAATGGTCAGTAACTTGAGTGAGAAATATGTGAGCTGGTTATAAAGGGTGGATTAGGGAGTTTTGTGTTATTTGTGTGAATGCTGTTTTAGATGCTGACAAGGAAAACCAAGAAGCTCCACCCCTTAAAAAATTGTTACTTGATGCAGACGACTCCGAAGATGATTACAAACCCGGTAATTGTCATCATTTACAATTTAATATCTGCTTGCAATGTAAGTTGTAAGTTTTGGCGGGGGGGGGGGCTGTCAAACTGTAAAGAAATGGGATTTGCAAAACATTTAAGAACATATGTAGTTACCGTCCTAGTTTTAGTAGGGTTTTAAAAGTTATGCCTCAATACGAATATTTTTTGAGATTATAATAATTTAAATTAGGGATTCAATTTCATTCATAAGTATTCCCTTTTTTTGAATTTGTGTATGATACAATTACAATCTCAATTTAGTGTATTAAAAAATGTTATTGAGGTTTTTGAAAACTGTTAAATTTGTTTATTTGCAGTTCACGATGATTTGAATGATGCATCTGATTCAGCCAGTTCAGGAGTTAATTCTGCTGATGAAGCTTTCAGTGGAGAAGAACCTGAAGATTCCCCTGTGGTTTGTGTTGATGATACCTTTTCCTCTTTGTACCATATTTGCTGGTGTGTAAGACACTTTCTTTCTTTTAGAAACTCCTCAAAAAACAAGATGTGTCTTATACAACGGATGGGAATTTTTGTAACTGTTTTAAGTATATAACTAGTTATAGTATATAACATTACAAAAATTAAATTTTTGTACACTCTTCCTGTCATAATAATATTAAACTGACTGAATGTTGGTTGTATGAATTCCTAGAATATAATAATTCAGTATCAGAGGACATAGTTTTATCTGCTGACAATGAGTGTACAATCTATTACAGTATCCGTTGCTTCTGAGATAACTGATTTTCTGTCTCAACAAGAGTTGTGCAAGTGCATTTCCTGGAATAGTGTCTAGGTATTGAATTTCTTCTTTTGTTCGGCTCGCTGAGAAAATTATACATGACTGATGTAAAGAAAAGAAAAAGCTTACTCTCTCTGTGAAATATACAAGCAGTTTTTGTGGGAAGAAACCTAAGTGGCTGGATGTTGGAAAAGAACTGTTAGATTGGGTTTTGGAGAATAGAAAAATGGGAATTTGTATTTCTTCAAAATTGATTATTACAGAAGGTAAAAGTAATGCAAGAAGAAAGTGTTGAAAATTTTGTTGGGTCAACGTTAGGGTGTAGAAGATTAATGAAAAGGCAGGGTGTTTCCATGCCTACCAGATTTAGAATATCACTAAGACTCTCAGTGGAATTGCTTTTCACTGATTCTTTATTCAAGCAAGAATAAATACACCTTTGTAATGCAGCAAATTTCAAACATGAATAAAGTCCCACTTAATTTGATGTTCCAGAAAATTGAACTGTCGAACAAAAAGGTGTAAAAACTTTTAATAATAAAACTACGGGACGTGACTCACTTGTGCTGGCCATGTATACAGATGGTACAAACTGCCTCCATTATTTTCAAGAGAAAAACATTGCGAAAGGGAAAGCTGCCAACAGGTAGTCTCGTTCATGTGCGCCAAAAAGGCTGGATGGATAAAGGTGGTTTGAAGATAATGCTTAATAAAGTAAGGAATGAGACCAGGAGCTCTAAAAAAAGCATAGCTTTGTTAGTTTGGGATCAATTTCTTGCGCATTTGACTAATTTCATAAGATAAATGTTAACAGAAATGAAAACTGAAATGCAGTTATTCTGGCAGGGCTCCCATGTCAATTGTAGCCACTCAACGTATCTATAAACAAGCATTACAAAGTATTTATGCATGAGGAATGGAATAAATGGATGATGTCACCAGGACAAGAAATGACACCAGGGGGGGAAATTGAAATGTCCAACCATAACTCGGGTCTGTAGATGGGCCAACATCTGGAACAATGTTGACCCTAAAATTATTGTGAATTCTTTAAAGAACTGCGGCATCAGCAATTCTTTGAATGGAACTGAAGATGATTTGTTTGAAAATGTTGGAAATTTGAAATTGTTAGAAATTCTTCAAGTATCAGTGTTTCCGACCAGGATTGATACTGTGTAACTAGATGCAAGATTTTAATATTCTGTAAGCAAGAATTGACTTTTGAGGTAAGCCTGTACATGTGTGTACATGTAATATTGGTGTACCAACAAGTAGTAGCTACTGTTATGTACTGGTTATATTGGTCCTTTTAATGCTGTCTATAAATATTCTTCTTTTTAATTACTGATTCACCCATAAAAATACTTATTTATTATATTTAAAACAAAATCATTCGTTATGAAAATATTCCCCTTCCTTTCATAAAAATAAAAATCAAGTATAAAATTTAACATTAAATAATAAAATTCTTCTTGAAAACTGGGGTGTTTTGTATAGTGGTGAGTCTTATACACCAGCAAATATAGTAATTATTGTTATGGTAATTATTTACAAGTGTTTTGCAGCTACCTGAAATGAAATCATAATTCCAATAATTATTCTCAAATTCTGTCTTTTTCTGTTAATATATTTGCACACACTTGATAAATGGAACTTAAAAATTACTTGTAAGCAGGTATACTTCCTGTTTGTAAACCTGAGAAGTAAGTATTTTAATGGTTTTATCCCTCTAATATCCCTTACAGTTTTTCCTTTTTTCATGTTAAATAATAAAGGAACAAATTAAAGTTCGAGCCTTGTAATATTTTAATGTTCTGAATTAGTTTTGATGAAAGATGTTCCCCCATTATCAGTAAAGGATTTGTAAATCTATTATGCAATTTAAACTTTCTCTCAAGTAAGTGTAATTCACTGCAAACAAAAACCAAGGTACATAATCTAATGTTTTTGTATGAATAGTGGCTTGGCTCCTTCCATTGCAAAATTATGAATATAAATATTCACTGTACATTCTCTTATGCATGTTCATTTGATGGAAGTTGCTTTCTCTTCAATTGCTTATTTTATATATTTAAGAGATGCATTAAATTGGCAGAATTATGATTAGAGATCTGCAGGTTCAAATAAATGAATATTTCAGGTTCCTTTTCTAGGAATTGAAAGTCCCTTATTAGTCCTAATTGACACTTTTGGTCTCAGATTAACTTAAAAATAATGGAATGTGAAAATAAGTGATATTACTGATAAACAGTTTCTTGTTTCTTATCTGTGTATTCAAATTATTTTATCCATTCCAAAAAAATCTGAAAATGAATGCAATTTCATTATTTATTTATTGTGACTAATTTTTACAGTAAAATAAATTGTATTAGGAATCCTGAAACGGAAAATTTGGCAGCCAATAAAATTTTATGTTTGTCAAGTGTGAATGACCTTAAAATTCCCTATTGCTTTCATTAAAATATTAAACTATGATGATTTGCTGTAGCTTTATGACTTAATTTTGCTTTCATTTTTGTTGAGTACAAATGGTATGTTATATTGTTATGAAAAAGATCCGTACTTCAGGGTTGGGGACTCCTGGTAAACTAGACGTTATACTTTTGATGAATAAAATATTAAATATCTTCTTTGTCTACTTAATTTTATTTTGATAATTGTCATTTGACAACTTTCGCATCATCAGTCCAGTGAAGGTGATGTGGGCAGTGCTGCAGGCACTGCTGCTAGACTAACGATGACGGCTTTGCCATCAAAAAACAACTCCCAGAGTAAAGTGAAGATTTCATCTATTATTATATCCATAAATTATATCAATATTCGCACAAAGTGATGTCTGATGTAATGATTAGGGGCAGATATTAATGAAATGTCAAATTTTTTCTTTTCATGTCAGAATAGTGCCTTTTGGTATAGAGATTAATTTTATGTTATGCCAAAATGAAATGATACTTTTATGTGATGTGCTTTTGCCAAAAAAATTTCATTTTTATGTCACTTTCTTATATTTTTAATTGTTTTCTTTGCTCATAAATTATAACATCAGTTGTTGTATGTAACGTAAGGTTCCTGTGATGCCCATCAATGCCATTTCGAGATAACATAAGACAGATTTTGTGATAAACAACAGTCCAAACCAAAAGTTTGCAGGCTGAGTTCACTGGAAAGAAAGGAAGAAACCTTGATTACATCAATAATGTATCCAACATTTGATCAAATTTTTTATGTCATTTTTCTTTTCTTTTAAGGGCATTTTAAAAATATTTTAAGAGCAATTTATTGATCATTTGTAGCAAACTTTTAAGTCATCAAGATCTGACCCCAGGTAAAAATATAATTTTCAAGTCGCAAAATATTATTCTAGTTATGACAGTAAGTCTGAACAATAAAAAATGCGGGAGGTCTTCTAAATTTGAAGCAGGCTGAAAGAGTTAATTTAACCCGTCAATGCACCAAAGAATATTACATTTAAACTCTTAAGGGACCTGTGAGGCCCTCTCCTAAAATTACAAGTTGTGATGGGAAAAGTGAAGTAACTTTTCATATAAATGAAAATAAGGGTATTTTATTTCTTTTTGTGTTTACTATAGAAAGACTTTGATAATAGTGTAATTTTTGTGCATCTGACAATTGTGTACCACCAACTGACATTTTCATTGTAATTTTTGCGCAATTTGGTGTAAACAATGTGTGTATTCAGTGCTGCAATATCTATTATATTGTACAAAAGATGTATTGGTGGTCAGCATCTTAATGTATAGTCATCGAACAACTGACTCATCATATCTACTCCTTTCTTTGTTTTATTTATAATATAATTTCTGGTTTCATGTTTTCAATATCAATAAATATCCGATTGTGATGTAGGCATGTAAATAATATAATTTCCTTTTGCTTTGGAAGACAAAATCAAATTATTGGTCTCAGCAGACACACTAGAAAAAATTGTTTGTTACTGGTTTTCAGATCTTTTGGAATCTCTTTTGGGTTTTAACAAAAAGTTCTTTGCTGCCAAATCTTTGGTCAAACCTTTTGCCTACAAATCCATTTCCCACATCATAATATAGATGAGTTAAGCGGTTTTTCTTAGCTTTTATTCGATTTTCATATTCATCAAAATTCATTAAAATCTCTAATTGTGGTGGAAAGAAAAGTATTTTTAACATTGCCCAGTGTGGTGCAAGAGAATCTAGTTGGAGAACAGTTCTGTCGCCATTGTGATAGGAAATTAGTTCCTTGTATCTAAAACTTGTCATTATTGTTATTAATTTTGTCTGATTTTTCTTGCATTTTTTGTTTTTTATCCTGTTAGAAAAGGAAGAAGAAATCAAAATCTGATCAAGCTGTTAAAAAACAGAAACTGACTTCTGGTAAACCTGTGGTTGTTCTACCCAGACCATCCCTTGCAAAAGAAACTGTGTCAAAACCAATAGAAAATAAAAATGAAGGATTTCAAAATGATTGGGCTCATTTGAAGTATGAATTTCTCAAACCTCATAAAATACGAGATGGAAATCGTAGAAGCCCTGAAGATCCAGAGTATAATGCAAGAACGGTATATGTGCCTGAAGATTTCAAGAAGAATTTAAGCCCTGTAAGAATGAAAAATATAATGTAAAGTGAATTTAAAATAATTTAACTTTTATGACTAATGTGTATATGTATTTTATCAATTTATTTTATATTTATTTGTATGTATGGTAACTCTTTCTAGGGTATGAAACAGTGGTGGGATATTAAGGCACAAAATTTTGATTGTGTTCTTTTCTTTAAAGTTGGAAAATTTTATGAATTATATCATATGGATGCTGTAACAGGAGTTAATGAATTGGGTTTAATTTATATGAAGGTAATGTGAAGAATCTGTTTCTGTAAGTTGAGAATATTTAATTCTTACTATGAATCAGAAGAATATATGATTTTTTGTGCTTTTGTTTTAGGGTGAATTTGCTCATTCTGGCTTTCCAGAAATTTCTTACGCACGTTTTTCATCAGCTCTTGTTGAGAAAGGTTTTAAAGTTGCTAGAGTTGAACAAACGGAAACTCCTGATATGATGGCGGAACGTTTGAAAGGAGGTACTTGAATTAGATTCCTCATTTTTGTCTAATTTGTTACATTTGCCTTCCAGTCAGTTCAGAAATCCACAAACTGGTTGAATATTGTTAAGGACATTTGTATAAGATAAGCGCAGAGCAAATTAATTTTTAAATGATGAAATATCCAACTACATCCAAAATGAAGTGCGAAATGAATTGGTTGAAATCTTTGTTGTTTTTCCTTGCAGTTATTTTAAATGTTTGACGGTAAGGTATATGTAAAATGATGCCAACAATTTTTTTAAAGTAATATATTTTAAAATTTAAAATGGTATTATATATAAAACATTAAAATAATTAAAACGTTCAGTTCAGTTCAAGTTAAGTAAGTACAGTAAAACCCCTTCTTTACACTATTCATGGGGCTGATGAAGAAAAAGTGAAAAATGTAGGAAAGTGTTAAATACGAGAAAGTTGAAAAATGATAGGCTAGGCGAGTACTTGAATTATTTACTGCAATGGTAGCTGTTTTCATTTTCTTGCCCTTCTTAAGAAGAGAAAGTAAAAGTGTGTGTCAGAAAGGGTGATTTTCATCAGAAAATCTCTTATTGACGGGCCCTGGTAATGAAAAAGTGGATAAATCATATTCCTACGTATAGTAAATTACTTCCTCTAACACGTGGTGTTGCCTGAATCTGTTTTATGGGTCCTTGAAGCACAAAATCGATTGATGGCAAAATTACCTATAGTCAGACCTATAGTTCTGGAAACTTCGGAGTGCACCTCATGTATTAGAAATTAATTTTCTACTATACAGTATATTATAAACGTTGGTTGGAAGTATTTTTATGTCGAGTGTTCTGTGATGCATGCAACTGAAAATATGTTTTAATTGAAGGACAATGTAATGAATCTCAAAAAGGAGAAAATAAGCTTCTCTTATTTCATTTCCAGCTTTTCGGGCTACAAAGTTTGACAAAGTGGTTAAAAGAGAAGTGTGCCAAATCACTACTAAAGGCACAAGGACATTTAGCGTGATTGATGGAGAAGCTCAGGAAGCTTCCTCTCGTTACTTGTTGGCATTGATTGAAAAGGTGTGTATTAGCCTCAATTTAGGAAGAAAAAAAAAGTTACCAGCTATAAGCAGTTATGTGGACTGCTAGTGCAAATTGTTGGCTATGAAATATGTGAATAGGAAACTTGTAGAGAAAATAGTTATTTTTATATTATGTACATGAAATTATGATGTTTTGCATGTTTGTTTTTTGTTGAGATTGACAGGGGGATTGAGATTGGGCAGAAAACAATTGTTTTACTTGCGAAAAAAAAAATGTTTCTATGATTGAATTAAATTGCATCTATTAAGAAACATTTTTTTGTTTTATCTGCATTCTTGTTTATTGAAACCAAGCACAAAAGCTCTTCATGCTTTTTTTTTTTTTTTTTTAATCTTTTTACCTTTCTATACGACAGTTTTAGTAGTAAATAAATAGAACATACTTCAAGGAGAATTAAATTAGAACTTTAATGATACAATTAACAATTACTTTCGATTTTTTGTTCTATTTATCGGTGGTGTAGCGTCAGGTGACACTAAGATGCTGAATATTCCGACATAAAATATTAATCAAAGAATCGTTAATATTGTATTGATTATCGTGCAAGTGAGCAAAACACATTTTATATTAATTTTAAAGTGATTGAATTGAGTGTGATATTATAAGCTGGCCTCTGATTGCTTGGACGCTAAAATGCTTCTAGCATCTGCCATGAGATTGCAATGGGCAATGACGCATGCGCAGATGGCTCTCTTCACTCATGTCTTAGAGATTTCTGAGTGTCTTACGCAAGCATATGACTGCAAAAAGAAACTTGTGAACAGGTTGTTAGTTTGTGCACAAGAGTGAAACACTTGGGGTTGTTAGTGAAATATATTTCTTTCTCACACATATTTGGGTGAGAAAGAAAAATACTCGTGATTCTCTGCTTGGGCACAAACAGTAGAAATAGTGCTTGTATACAAATTCATTATGAATATCTAAGAAGTTGAATGAATTAGGTGTTATGTCTGAAATGTGAAAATTCACAAGTGATCTCATAGCCAATCGCACATGAGAATTGAACCTGAGCCATTGTGTAATTTGCTTTCAACCAGTCTCCTCACAAATCTATTAAGAGTATTGTAACATTTGTTTCGATAACTCCTAGATAGATCGATAGATCCTAGGGAACATTAAAGATTGTGATATCTTCACTTCACGTTGATGTATGTATATAAAAATAAATAAATAAAAACATGCATGCATATTTAGTTAAAATATTTTAGAAAATCTTTGCTGCTGTTTCCAAAATATTCACGAGGGCCACAGCTCCCATGTTGCCCCAGTACCCCTAGGCACACTCCTGTTTCTATGTGATCATTGGAAATAGTTATTTATAAATATAAAGGCTCTAACAGAAATATGCAGATGCAACTTGAGATGCTGTAGTGTTCAATAGAAAATGTTGGTCAGAAAATATGTCAAATGCAATGAGGAAAAATGTTCAAATTTAAATGGCCATAAAAGTCTCATTAAAAAAAGTAAATAGACACCCAATAGAACTTGAGTTATTGTTCTTATCTCATGTTTGGTTTTTAGTCAGGACATTTGCGTTAATACAAGTCACAGAAATTTTACTATACTTCGTAGACATATACATTTAAAAATTACGTTTAACAATGTTTTCAATGTAAGTTTGATGGTTGATTTTTGCCAGGCTGCCTTGTACTTTCATAGCGTTCTAAACACCTTAATATTTCTATTTCTCGTCATTAGTTTGAATTTAAATTGAACAGGAAATGTACTTTTTTTTCTGTTAATAAGTCCTACTAATACTTATACTTACTAATATTACTAATACTAATGCTTATACTAATACTTATTAGTTTACTTAAATTTAACTTCCAATTTCTAGCAAGGCTTCTAACAATTAAACTTAAACACCTGCAAATAAAAGTAGATCATTCTTTCTCTGAATCATCTGCTGAATTTTAGACACTTTTTCATTGATGAATTCCATTGAACTGGAAATGCTTGAAATGTTTTTTCTTGTTTCCGATTGTAATTCCCTGGAAATTTTAAAGGAGCCGAGTGCAATTTTTGTTAAAACAACTTTTGCATAGCAAACTAGCTCTGTCTGAAAATGGCCAATTGCAGGAATTTTTTGCAGCTTATGGCAACAAAGAAATGATTGAATGTATATGTATTGAAACAAAATGTACTGATGGAAGGTAAGTTTATCTTCTGAACTTAACAAAACATAAAGCACTCTAGGCTGTTCAGTTTAAAAAAACAACTAAGAAAACTGCTTTTAGTACACAATTTCTTTCGAACTTCCATGCTACAATTTTTTTGTGGCATTTTAAACTGAAAATCTTCAGTGTGTATACAGCCCACCTATTATGTACAGTCTGTTGTAAATGGCTATTGGTTTCAATAAGTGGTGTGTATTAATAGTATTATTGGTACAGAGATAAAGTTTAATCTTTCTATCTCTAATTTAATTTTGTTTTCCTTGCCTAGCTTAGATCATGTCCAATCTCAATCATGTTAATATATTATTCACAAATTTCACTTTCCTGAGTTGGAACAAGAACTCTGCTTACCCTTTTGCTGCTGCTCGTTGGGCCATTTGTATGAATCTGAAAATTCCTGGAGATTTTACCTGTCAATTGCATTGGGGTTGCAGGCAGTATTTAATTTAATAATCAGCCTTATTTCATAAAAAACAAACTATATTTTTTCAATTAATTTATGTCAAATAAATGAATGACTTTTTTAGTTTGGTTGCCTAGAAAATCTATTTACATTATCTTAGATATCTGAAATTGGATATTAATGTACTATATTTTCACTATAATTTCTTCACTCATTCTTAATCTTCTCGGATGCTCCTGTACCGAGGTAGTTATCCTTTCTTCCTGTCGTCAAATATGCTTTCGAATTATTTACTGATATTGCTCAAATTTACACTATTTCATACTTTCCCTACATCTCACCGCTGATGCCTAATCCAGAATACTTCCCTGTCAATTATTCATGTTACTTTACAAAAATAAATTACTTGTCTAATCCCTATACTTAATATTGAACTTGTCGATTTTTATAGCGCAATCACTAATAAATTGTCACCCTCCTCGACTAGCAATAACCAATTTTTATACCATTCATTCAGCTGTTATAATTAACAACAATGTTGCTTGCATGACATCTAAAACTTAAGAGAACTTTCTTGCTGTCTATCCACCAGATCCCCCAGTCTTGTGCTATTTTCCCCCTCCCTCGTTGTTCTTGTCTCTTCCGGTCTGTCTATGCTACCAGTATTTTAATGGGCATCTATAAGTGGCTTTGGATGGTTTAACTATGCATGTACTTGTAACATCCCTTTCATATCGTGGACTTAACATTACTTAGGGTTGTTTGGTGTATTACAGTACTTTAAGGCAAAATTCAGATATTTGTAATTTAACAAGTAATTTGTTACTATTTTATTTTGTTTTCTAGTTTGTGTATTGTTATCTACTGTATAAATTGTTCCTTTAGGTTGAACATTTTCTGGCAAAAAAGAAAAAGTCAAGGAATTTGACTGATCAAGAAGCATTAGGAAATTTTTATAAGAACCATTTGAAGTCTGATTTTTTTCCCCCACTCACCTCCTTTGCTTGTGAATTTGAATATGACAAATGTAGATAATAAAAATGTGTGTATTAAATCTGTGGTGTGCCTGTCTCTTTCACAGTGCATTAGTACTGGAGAACTGTAGGTAAAACAGGGAAAAGAACTCAACTAAAAACAGCTTTATGATATCAAATTGTTATGCTTTAATTTAATATTTTATTTAAATAAATTTCTTGAAGCAATATTTTTAAAAAGTCCTAGATAACAAGGAAAAGCTAGAAAAATTGCAATTTTCTCTAAGACTATCAGTATATTTGCCACTGCTAATAGATTTTGATTGCATCTACATTTAGATTAATTTTGTTGAATTGATTGATGTACTTGTGTTTTGTTAATTGCATTTAGTGTGTTACAGTGTCTCTAAATTTCTTTATTGTTAAATGTTATAGGAACTTGATTCCAATAGAAGCTCATATGGAGTTTGTTTCATTGATACATCAATTGGCGTCTTCAATATTGGACAGTTTTCAGACGATAAATTCTCCTCGCAGCTGAGGATGTTGATTGCTCATAATCCTCCTGTTCAGGTAAGCTCTGTCTGAACTTTTAAACTTAGCTTTAGTTGTTCCAGAAGCTGCATGCAATTTTCTGCATGTTTCATGCTTTTCATTAATAGTAACTTTGTCTCTTTGCTTTTCTTTTGTATTATGAATTTATCTAGATTTCATTATCACTGAGGTATTTAATTCTGAAGCATCTTGATAGAAACATTTTTACTTGCCGGTATAAAATAATTTAAATTTGAAAGTCGTTCCATCTCTATGATGCTTACCGAATTGAGTGGCTCAAGGCCCCAGCTGATGTCACTGCAATGCCCAGGGCCTTTGAACTCTCCATCAAAACCGGGGACATAGCTTGAGGGTGCTACTCTAGGAAGCACTAGTGTCACTGGGTATGGCTGCAGTTTAGGCTCGCCAACTTCTGAACATAAAAATCGGATAATTTGCAAGAGAAAGGAAAAGTGTCTTTTTAATGTTATACACGTATAAGAAACTGCTGAAGAAAGTGTGAACTCGATGCTATCTTTTGTAGCAGCCACACACTATTTAAGTATTGTTGGCAATGGTTCGTGTTTTTGTTCCTGTAAGAAGGTGCTGCAGGAGATCGTGCCACTGTAATGGTTTCCACCTTGTTAAATAGGAGTTGAAAGGCACTGGTAGCAGAAGTTTTGACACTTAGCTCATTAGCTAGGGTGAATTCAGCTGCTGTCGGGAGGAGAATTCGAATGGCTGGCTGGTCAGATCAATAGTTTTCCATGGTTTCTTTAACCAACACCAGGTGAATGCTGGAGTAGTTCCCTAACAAACGTGCCATGGACCACGCATGATCTTTCCTTCCTTTTCCTTGTCCTGTCCTCACTTCACTCCTTACTTACACACACTTGAACTTACAAACTCTACAGTATCACACTTCAGGTGCGAAGAACTTGTCCTGGCTGGGGTGGTACAACGCTGAGGGCAGATGTCTGGTTGGGAAAATCCCTGCAAGCCGATGTAGGTCAGCCCTGGATCTTGCCATTCTGCAGGGAATCTATACCCCCCCATGATAAAAAACATGCACTACACATATCAGACTAATGACCTTAGCAGGAATAATGAATCAATCCGTGATGCTTTTAATTATAAATTACTTTTAAGCAAGTTGGATTTCTTTAAGAAGTGGTTTCATATTTTGACTCAATGGTTAAATATCATTAAATGATGATCTAATTTTATTGCATATGTATTAATTTTTTAAAATAAATTATAGGTCTTGTATTTGAAGAAATCTATAACTGATCGAACCCAACAGTTGCTGAATAGTGTTCTCACTAATGTTTTGAAGGAACCTCTTTCAAAATCAGAATTTTGGCCTGCAGATAAAACACTAATGAAATTAGCAGAAGGAGATTATTTCCCAAAGAAGGAAACTGGCGGTGTTGGTTGGCCTGAAGGATTGAAACAATTTTTAAGTGATGGTATGTTGAAACTGTATTACATCTAAAACATATTATTTACCTTACAAATGTCATATTAAAAGATTTTTTGTAATGTGAGGGCACTTTAAGTGCGAAAATAATTTTGTAACTTAAAGTAATATGTATTAGAGAGGTTTTAACAAAACAATAGGGCTATAATATGAAATGGAAAGGGTGAAAAGCTTGTAAGTGATTTATTTAAAAACCTGAAAGATGATTGTGAGTACTGGGTAACACTTCTGGCTTGATTTCCTACCTTTTGTTGAAAGTTTTGTGTTTAAAATTGGAAAATGTTTTAGTTTTTAAATTTGTATTTTACAGCTGATTCTGTTGGTTTATCTCCTCGGGATGAATATTCACTTGCTGTCAGTGCTTTAGGAGCAGTTATTTGGTATTTACAAAAGTGTCTTTTGGATCACCAGTTATTAGCAATGGGTCAGTTTGAATTATATGTTCCTAGTAGTTCATCTGACTCCTCAAAGGCCCCTGTGAAAGAAATAATGCCTAAACATATGGTATGTGTTTAGGGAGATGCATAATATTATTTCCTATCAAAAGAAACCTAAAACTAATCAATGCTTTAATTTATTAGATTTTAGATGGCATCACTCTGAAAAATTTAGATGTTTTGGAATGTCCTGGAGGACAAGAAGGTGCACTTTTATATCACTTGGATTGTTGCTCTACAAAATTTGGAAAAAGGTTTGTTTGAAATTAAGAGGGGCCTAAATTTTAACGTAGGATGATATTTGATGAACCTGAGTATTAATATTTCATGAAAATATTGCTTGAAAATAGGTTGCTGCGGCAGTGGATATGTTCTCCCCTTTGTAATATTGAGTCCATTAAGTCTCGTCAAGAAGCAATTTCTGACCTTCGTGATAATTCTTCTGTAGTAAAAGAAGTTCGAGAAAAGTTATCACAGTTACCAGATCTGGAGCGTTTACTTACGAGGTATGTTATATTTCTTCGGGGGATTTGTAAATTTTCAGATGTTTTCATTGTTTTATTTTGAATTGTATGTGACTTTTCAGCATACATGCACAAGGTAATGCTGTTCGCTCTAAAACTCATCCTGATAGTCGGGCTATATTTTATGAAGATCAAGTATATTCAAAACGGAAAATACAAAATTTCATAGCAACGTTGAATGGTTTCAGATCATCTATGGAAATTATTGGTGTATTCCAAGGTAAGGTTTACAAATGAAAACAAGTCATGTGTAAATGCCCTTTGCAATTTTTTACTTGCTGACAATTCACTCTGGTACTCACAAACCATAAAATAGACTTCAGGATAGTCATGCTGTGTTTGTGCTAATGTCATATGTTAAAAAGGTTCTAGGATTCTCATTGAAATAAGACTTATGCAACTCTCTTATTGTCTCTTTTTACTTTAAGATGACAATCTAGAAATAACATCAAAATTGTTATTTCAATGTGTTAATACTCCTGATCGTGATGGTGGAAGATTTCCTAAAATTGAAGAGTCTCTTAACTTTTTTTATGTAAGTATTTTGTGAAGGAACTGTTATTAAACATATCTATATTTTTTCATTAATATTATGCCTTTAATTTGCAGTCAGCATTTGATCATGAAACTGCAACCAAAGAAGGCCGAATTGTTCCTAGTGCCGGTGTTGATCCGGAATATGATAATATTTTGGAAGAAGTTGAAAGAGTCAATGATGAGTTACAAAAGTATTTGGAAGAACAAAGGAAATATTTTGGATGCAAAGTTAGTAACCAACTTGTTCAACATTTTTTTTTTCATAATTATTAATATTCACTTTATTACTACACCATACAAATCCAAGATATTCATCCCCTGTATGATTTAAACATTTACGCTTGTAGGTCACCTATATTGGCAGTGACAAGAAACGTTTCCAGTTGGAAGTACCTGAAGCAGCTGCTAGAAAAGCAGGAAATGACTATGAATTGCAGTCACAAAGGAAAGGCTTCAAGCGATTTGCAACATCCAAGTCAAAGGTATGTTCCTACAGTTTCAAAACTAAAAGGACTTCTCAGTAACATTGTTACTGAGACATGTCACATGTACATGTTACATTTATGTAAAATGGATTGAATTGAAACCAATTCTCAATTTTAGGATCTCCTTGCTCAACTAATACAAGCTGAAGAGCGGAAGAAATCAGTCTTACAAGATTTGAGTCGACGTGTTTTTGAACAGTTTAGTTCCAAGTAAGGATGTTTCATAATTTTCTTGTTTTGTCTTGCTTGTAAACGTATTCAAGATTATAATTTTACAAGCAATTGTTTCTGTTTAATAGGTATGAACTCTGGAGTGAAGTCATTAAGTGTTTATCAGTACTTGATGTATTGCTGTCCCTAGCTGTGTATGCTGAGAATGCAGGAGGAAATCTGTGCATTCCAAAGTTTGAATTGGTTGAGAATGGACACAAAGTAAACATGATTCAGTTTGCCTCTTTGTGATTTATAGTTTTATCGAGTTTTATTAATTATATCTTTATAAATTTGCAGCCTTTTGTAAAAATTAAAGATGGGCGACACCCTAGTATTATTTGTGCCAAAGGCTATGTTTCCAATGACACTATGATAGGATGTGAAGATTCCAATGAAATATCTTCAAGTTTGATAATGGTGACTGGGCCAAACATGGGAGGAAAATCTACCTTGATGAGACAGTTGGGTCTTTTAACTATCATGGCACATATAGTATGTACATTGTTTAGTTCTTTTATTTTTATAGTTAACATTATGATAAATTTTCTACTCATTCTTAATGGACAATCACCTCTTTTGATGGTGATTTCAACTGTATTTAATCCTTTTGAAAATTTTTTCTATGTATCAAATTTATTTACATTTTCTATAATGCAATAGTTACTCTTTCCAAGTAAGTTTTTTGTTGAAAAAATTGTTCTTACACTTTTGTTCTTTGCAATTTTATTAAGAATACTATATTCAATTGGTAAATGGTAATGTTAGAATATGTTGTAGTGTATGGTTGTGTCACATCATAATTAATGGCATAAATGTTTTGTTTCAGGGATGTCACATACCTGCTGATGAGTGTGTTTTAACTCCTGTTGATCGTATATTTACTCGCATCGGTGCTAGTGATGATATCATGGCAGGAGAAAGTACATTTTTTGTTGAATTGAGTGAGACTTCAGCAATTCTTCGTAAAGCATCCAAACATTCTTTGGTTTTAGTGGATGAACTGGGTAAATTTCCACTCTGAAAATAACTTTCTTAATATTGTAGTAGTAGTCATGCATTAGACTCATTCCAAACAAGTTTATTTTTATCATTCTTTTTAATATCTTCGACCATAAGAATAACATGATTTCTGTACCTTTGGAGAAATAGTAGTTTTAAATAGTTTCTTTTGGTTTGATCAGGACAGTGGTTTCAGAGTAATCAGCAATTGTAAGATACTAGATCAGTATGACCACTGGTGTTACATTCTTTGCTCAGAATGTTAAGGAAGGGAATGGGTATTCAAGTAAAGTAAATCAGCTAGGTAAACTTGGAATTGTGATAAATAGTCTTACGTTGTTTTTTTAAATTTTGTGGTGTTTGCCAATTTTTTTTATTCAGAAATTAACCAATTTGGTACACAATGTTTGAAACTGTTCTCTATACATTAAAGTTACAAGATTGTACATTCTATTGTTAATTTTTCATTAAAATATTTGTAATATTTCTGAGCATATTCTGTATTATTTTCTTTTACACTTTGGTTCTTCCATAATCTACTTTACCTTCATAGACTTTTTGCTACATGTGGACAGTATGTCAGTCACTTCTGATGTTTCAAAATATGGCATGACTATTGCAGAGTAAGAAATGTTAGAATTTAAAGGCAGTGAAAGTAATTTGTCTTGTTTTTCTAAGGACGAGGAACATCTACCCATGACGGAACAGCCATAGCATCTGCAACTGTCAAGGAACTTGTACGGTTGGGTTGTCGGACGTTATTTTCAACTCACTATCACAGTTTGGTGGATGATTTCAAGAACTCTCCTGATATTACAATGAGACATATGGTGAGTTGCAGCTGTAACATATTAAAAAATCTAGAGATTTGTGATTTTGCAATATTTGTATTAGTACAATTTTTTGTGTCCTTGCTTTTGTCAGAGAATGTTCACTTATTACCTCAAATGAGTTTGCTTGTAGGTGCTAATTTTTTCTGTCAGAAAGGAAGAGGGTGTTATTTGTGAATTTCTTTAATGGACTTGCCACATTATCGTAATAATAAATATTAATTTTGGCAAACCACAAATTTTGGAAAGTGTCTCCTGAAAAATTAAGTTTTTTGACATACTTGTCACTACAGACCACCCATTTTAATTGAATATAAACATGGCAGACGTTCTGCCCTCTTTCTCCCATTGTCTCTCATCTGTCACTCTCTCTCTCTGTCTCTCTTCGACCCTCTCGTTTACAAGTAGGTGCAAATTCTGCACAACTCTAAGCAGGTGCGGTAATATTGAGAAATGCCGGACCAGCAAGAATGTAAAGTTAGAACATTAGAAAAATACAGCGTTCAAGATCTTAAACGTTTTATTGTTAAATGTTAGTTCTCTTTAAAGCAGTCGGGGTTTTGCAGTAAAACTGACCTCACTACTACATTTGACCTGCTTTAAGACTGTATCTTTATTTCTCAAATTTGCAATATTTTCATTAATTATTGTTTTAATATCATTTAATTTAAAATTTATCAAGTTTTCCTCTTATATTGAAAATTTCAACTTCTTGGTATTTGCTTATTGTGCATGTATGAAAAGGTATTTTGAATTTTATATTCTTCTTCTTCTTCGACGGTTTCTACCCCTTAGAGTTTGCCGTTTTCGATTTCCATAATTCTCGGTCCTCCCATTGACCCTCTTCCAATCCTTTCTCCTCCATAACTTCGTATATATATTTCTTCCAGGTTAAACCAGGTCCACCTCTTCTACGCCTTCTTTCAGGTATCCAAGTTATAATTTGTTTTGGCCATCTCTCATTTCGCATCCTCTGGACATGTCCATACCATTGAAGAGCTTTGTTTTCTAGTCTTCTGGTTATGGTTGTTTGAACCCCAGCTCTTTCCCACACCACTTCGTTCCTTATTTTATCCAGTTCTTTTATATTCTACTGAGTTTATAGTAGTAGAATGCAATCCACATTTTCCTAAACTGTGACAATTTGTTGTTTTGTTGAAGGCTTGTATGGTAGAAGAAGACAGTGAAGACCCTACTCAAGAGACTGTGACTTTCTTATACAAATTTGAGGCTGGTGCCTGCCCAAAGTCTTACGGTTTCAATGCTGCTCGTCTGGGTGGTATTCCTTCTTTCATTACATCAAGAGCCTATGTTAAGGCCAAGGAAATAGAGCAAGAAAGCCATGCTCGAAAATTATTCTCTTCAGTATGCTCAAGTGCTGATCTTAGTTCTATTATTGCTCAAATCAAGTCTTTGTAATAATTGTGTAAAGGGCACCTGAAAGACCTCTACCTCACTTGTGAGTGATCCCTGACTTTTTTTCCATCATCAACATACTTCTGAAAACATCTGTGTTTGGTGCTAGAATGAAAATAGTGTGAAATGATTTTCAATTCTTCCAGTTCTCAAATACTTTCTTACATGTGTACTTTCTTACAAATGTACATAGAATAAAAAGGAATTCTTCAGTTGATATAAAAGAATGATAGCAGTTTTGCAGCTTGCAGGAAAGAGACGTCTTTGATGATTTTTTTGTTGAATTCAATTTTATTATTTTTTCTACTACTTTCAGAATTGTAAACCTATTTTCAGCCACAAGTTAAGAGAGTTTCTCAACACTTGTAAAATACTTGAGTTAATTTTGTAAATAAAAAAAAAAAATTAAAAAAAATTAATAAAGTATTGTTTTTTTAAAATAATTGGTGTCTTTTTTCTTTATAACTTAACTATTCTTAATGCTCTATAATCTGCACAGTCAAATATTTGTAGTAATTATTATTGAAAAATATTAAAGGTTATTTAGGAATATAAGACAAAGTATTGCAACAAATCAGTTGAAAAACAGTCCAAATTTCACCATCTCCAAGTAGCTTTGTCATCACAAGGTTAGCGCTTCTGATGACAGTAACAAAAATGTAATTTTTTATCAGCATTTACTTTCTCACTACTTGCATAGTATACAAAAATAATTGTGATAATGGAGCAAAAAAAATTAGCAATTTTTTGACAAATCTTACGTTATGGGACCTTGAAATCAAATACGTGGGTAAATCCTATTCCAATACCTAAATTACTTCCTATGACATATGTAGTCAAAACCCACATTTTGTGGAACTTTATACCAAAAAAATTGGATTATGGCAAAATATCTAGCTGTTCATCTGTAAACGACACTAATGGCAAGATTTTCACTAAAATTCATATTCCACAATCAGTCTGATATTGCAGACCCTTGAATTTGAAAGTACTATTTTTATTTTGAGGGGTTCTTCACTAAAGCATTAAACATTTTCAAAAATAGAACAAAATTTGTTCTTTAATTTTTTTCTTGGTAGAACAAATACATTTATAGTGTGTGTAATGTTTTCATTAATTTCTCTGAATTTTCGAAAATTGCCAACGTTTAAAACAATTGTGGTGTCTTCATACAGCTACAATAAAGAAAAGTTTTTAAATGAAACTTCATAATTAGTTCTGTAATGCTGCAGTGCTCTTCCTGATCCCTATGGTAATAAAAAAAAATTAAGATGTGAAGTTAAATCAGTTTAATTTTTTTAAATTCGGAACAAGCCTTCATCTCATATACAAATTAATGCTTTGTGACAGATGCATTATTTAATGAATGGAGTTAATTTCTTTTTATGGTATATAGTCTAAAAATTATAAAATCCATTTTCATAAATGGATTTACAAAATAAAGATGAAAATCAAGAGACAATTTTTTGAAATAACTTGAATGTAGTCTATTAATGAGAAGGAAATGGAGTTGCAAGGATGATAATTGTACAAAGCAGGTTTTGGTATTACAAAAGTATTCTGGAAAAGCAAGTGTCCTATTAATTTATTTTGAAAACAGTAGTTTTCAAGAAGTATTAGAAACAAGATCTTCTCAAAAAGCACCAAATTTTTTCATTAAACTTTCTGTATGTGTAATGCTGATGTCTGGATTGTTTCAAAACATGTTAAGGAACTTTAATTTTAAGGTTCAGAAATGACTTAAAATTTCCTTCAATGAATAAACTGTTCCTGCTAAATTGCTGATGATAAAGCATTCAAAATCTTAATAGGGCACTGTTTTTAACATATTTAATTACACAATATTAAATTTTGTAGATTATTTCCTTCTTCTCAATTGAAAAAATGGGCCCCAGAAAATGAAGGAAAGCCCATTGAAACCTTTTGCAAATCTTTGAGCTGGGAAATAAGAGTAGTAAAGTTGAAACGATTGGCCTGAGAAGGTAGAAAAATATTTAAAAGCTGCTTGGTTTACTAGTCTGTAAACTGAGTGAAGGGCCAGTCCAACTACCAAGCAATGGACTTCTAATACTTACAAAAATATCTTAATCAGTTACAGTAAAAATTGTACTTCAGTAACATTTTGTCAAAAGGGGACTTCAAAAAGGAATTATGCAGAAATAAACTTAGTACTTGTTGACATTCTAACAGGCACAAACATGCACCCATTAAAAAAAAAAAAATAAATATTGGTTGACTTCCATGCAGACAACGCCACATAATTTATTTGGAAGGAGAATTACGTGAAAAGAAAGTGATAAAAGTTGTATTTTAGCTGTTTTAAAATCACTTCATATACGTATATACCACAAAAGTTCTTTATTTTTTAACAGCCAGGATGGCCTTTACATATTTCAATTAACACTGTACAAGTCAAATACAACCATCCTCTGCACTTTCTTGAAAAAGTTGTCTTCTGAATTATCTGCTTTGTTAAAAAAGTTAGACGTAACTCAAGTTGTTATAAAATATTTACTTTTTAAGCTTGTGATGTGCAGATGAACCAGAGTTTTTGAATTGTTTTGTGGCATGAATAATACTACAATTTACTTGGCAAATAAAATTTCCTAACGAGTATATACAGTGTATTTTACATAATTAAATCTTCCAAATACAACAAACATTTTATAAATACACTAGAAATATTTCTGAAAGTGTCTGGTGATTTCAGATTCAAGAACATAATTAACATGGATATAGTGTATCAGAGTCAGAAATAATTTTACTGGACTTCTGTAAATATCACACCACAATTACTGTCGCTTTTTGCTGGCCTTCACTGCACGTCCTTTGGGCTTCTCACCACCAAAGAACGACGTTAATACTTCTGACATTTCAGGCATATCATATTTTGTCAAATTATTCAGTTGTTCCATTTCCTGGAAGGATTAGCAATAAGAATTTGCTGGCATGTGAAGAATGCACTTAACATACATGCAGGAATAATCAAGTTACCTTTCTGGTTTCAGGGTCATTCATCATCTTTGGGAGAATCATGATGAGGAGAAGTGGCAAAACCATCATCAGCACCTGTGATCAATCACATACAAACATAATAAAACAGCATAAAAACAAATGTAAATAAAATTCAATGATCAGGGCTTACCATTGGGCTGAAGAGAAAGTCTGTTATTCTCCATTGTTCTCTTACTTGAAAGTATCGCAATCGTGCGAGTGGTTTTAACTTTAAGGGGTAAGAAACTTGAATAACTTGAGATGTCTGAATGTAATTAACTTTTCTTGCTCTGAATTTACCCTTTGAATTTATTTCCACTCGGACAGGCTCATATGCATAGTTTGGGTTGGCTATCTCAACAACATAGGAGCCTGAAGGCACATTATTTATAATGAATGTACCATCTTCCCTGAGAAAACATAAGAATTATAAACATTTGCATTCAAGCTCTCATAACCCTGAACTATTGTTTAATGATCATAGTACATTGTCAATATTACTATGTACTTAAAAAGTGAAGCTGTAACGAAACTAATCCATGCGCATTGCTTACTTCAAAAATCCTATGTGTTCACCTCCGTTTACTAACACACGAGTTTGCGCTTGCCAGTTCGATAATATGTGCGAATCGGGAGGATACACTCTACCTTCAACACTATATAATTCAGGCGTAGAAACAGTTTGTACATCAATCTGTGATAAAGCTACATCAATAATAGAAAAAAGAAATGCCAACACTATTGAATTTTTAACGCATTTCTCCCACAATACCATAGTTTTCACCATTTTGTTTGTCACAAATGCATTTGTACCCAGACGGTCAGTCAGTGCCAGTGCAGTCACTTCTCCATCTACATAAAGTAGGAAACAGAAGGGAACTTTGTTATTTCTCCCGGGAAACGCATGTTGCCAATGGGAAATTCGAACCAAATACAGTTATATAAATCATAAAGACAGATTTCGAAATACATGAATGAAAACTAAATAGACAAGTGTAAGACATATATTACCCGCTTTTGTTGTTTATCTGGCAATACGAAAAATCTTTCTGTTACTAAAAGGTAAATTTAACATTCCACATTAGGTTGATAACCATGACAAATGACATATCAGCTGCGCACAGCAGATGTGAGGTGTTCTAAGTCGTGAGATAGGGGTTTATGTACATAGTTAATATTTAAATTTGATTCCTTCGAGAGGTATAACAACCCAGCAAAGATTAATACATAGAACTATAAGTTTGTTTTTTTATAGTATCCCTTTACATTTCGTCGTGATGCAGCCACTCAGAAAGTATTAACTACACAGTGGTGAGAAAGTGACACATAACCACATCAGTTGATATATTAAGTATTATGGCAACAACAATTACAATTTCAAGCTAACGTGAGCTTTTGACGCCGGTAATCGCCATGTCAAGTAATAAATATCATACATCACCAACACCTAGCCGAAGCACATCATCTCTTGGGAGTATAAGAGCAGGTTCTCCTCTCCCTGTTCCAGTTGCCTACAGGTATAGTCTCTAGAGCGGTTTGCATTATTGCACTTTTTAATTTCTACTCTTATTTGGCGTACTACTTCAATAAAATAATAAATGCAGCGAAAAACTATGTTGGTTGTGCAATGTTATTTGAACAGTGTAATAACTTGGGAAAACTGAACCAATTCCTGATCATTTTGCTTGAGAGTACTATTGAGGAAAATTACTTTCCAGGTTTATTTTTTTTAACCTTAAAAACATATAAACCCTTATTATTTTGGATGAGATTGTACAGAAGTCACCTTGAAGAGCATTGCCTTTCTCTTTTCAGATTAGATTGCATGAGTGCCGCAGCAAAACGTTACAAATACTTGCGACGTCTTGTGAAATTTCAACAAATGGACTTTGAGTTTGCCGTTTGGCAAATGCTTTATCTCTTCATAGCACCTCAGAAAGTTTATAGAAATTTTCATTATCGAAAACGTAATTATTTAATAAGTGTGTCTATTTGTGAATGTTTAATGAAGAAAGCACAGTTTTCTTTTAATAATAAGGTTAATATGTGGTGATTTTTCAGAGACAAAGTCACAATTTGCTCGCGATGATCCTGCATTCCTAGTTCTCCTTAGCTTCTGGCTGTGTGGTATGTGCTGATGTTCATTTTTAACTCTTAGAAATTGTGATTTGAGTCAATTGATATTTAAGTTTGTGTTAAATGTTCTTGTTCACAGCCTCATCCGTTGGATTTGCTGTAGTTTTGAAACTTGGATTTTGGGGATTCATAAAATTTCTATTATATGTAGTTTTTGTTGATTGCATAGGTGTAGGTCTCTTGATAGCTACTTTTTTTTGGTAAGTATGAAAATGTTTTCATTGTTACTTCTCAGTTGTCAGCTTTCTGTTTCTTTTTAATGTAATCTGTTATTGTGTGTGTCTGTTAAATTGAAAATTGAATGAGAAATTCTGACTGATTTAAACTAAGTATTGGAACATAGCCACATTGCTAGTTACTAGAGAAAAAAAACAACAATTTAGTAGTTATTGAGTAATGTAACTAAGCTTTCAGTGGATGTGATTACAAAGACCTTATCCAAATAGTCTTGCAATCTTGACTATTGTGGGAAAACAAAATTATACATATAAATCACAATAACAGAACTAATGGAAAGAAAACCATTAAGAATATTAAAATTTGCAAATGGTAGCTACCATAGGTGTATGCTATGCAGGGAAAGAGAGGGAGAATGCCCCCCCCCCCCCTGAAAAAAGTAAAAGGGGCCCTATGGCCTCAAATAGTTAAAAAAAAATATTTCTCTAGATGTGTTCATCCCTGAATTCTCCCTCCTCTTTTTTAAACTGATAATTGAGAAATAGTTTGTCGACATTTTAGGAAGTGATTCCCCAAGCCATCTGACACCTGTATTGGGAGTTTGACATAAAATCAATTGTATATACTAATTGTATCATTAAATTTATCAACTCATTCTCTTTTGATAGTAACAGTTGTATAAGAAAATGTTGTTTCTAAATAAAATAATTAAAAGGCCAAGGGGATCCAAATTTTTTTTTTTTTAGGCTATGCCCACCTATGACGGCAACTAATTATTTTGGAATAAGTTTCACTTTTTATATAAATTTGATTTACGAAAAATTAACCACAAGTTTAATTGGATACCATATGAGAAAAGTCGGTATATGTCAAAATGTAATGTTTTTTTATTGTAATGTGAATTTATAATCTTCATACTTGGTTTCCTTATAACTCTGAACATATACATGATTGAGAACAGCCTTAAAGATTCAAATTCATGTACTAGCGCCCTTTACGCAGCAAAAAATCTTGCCTTCATATAGTCAAAAATATTATTGGTACTGTTATAATTGAAATATTAATAATTGACGGTACTATTTTGTGAATACAAAGAAATATAATACAAACTAATAATGAGTGTTGATTAGTACTTTTAAAGAAATCAATTTTTTTCCATATTATCATCAAGAGTATCGTGGATTGAATCACACGATGCATGGAAAATTATATGTTTACATTGATTGCTGCTTTTTTACATCAGTCATATAATTGAGCCTTTGAAATTAATAGAATTAATTGAGCTCAAAGTGTTCACCCTTTCCTTTTTACCATTTTTGTTGGCTTTAGAGCCCGATCAGGAAGTACTTGTCTCTGAAAGAAATGTTGCTCTGTTTGATCTGCAATTCCATTTATTTGTTAATTATGAAATACTGTGAAAATAAAGTGGAAATAAAGGGTAACTCATTATTTTGAGTTTCCTTCTAGTTGAATGGAAATCTTTAGAAGCTTTGAGTGTCATATCTGGACTGGGGATTGAATTTTCTATTTAAACAAATACTTCAGTATCGATATTTTTGGATTTCTCTTTGATCTTCAGATGAAATTTGTATGTCAGTGCAACTGAAACTACTATTAGTTCTGTGAATATTTGAATTGGCGTGTATTTAACACGACATAATTTATAGCAGTGAGGGTGTGTATGTAAAGGAAAGATCCTTTGATCATTAAGCAATGCAGTGATACATGATAGATTGAACTCTTATTGCCCAGTAAAATCCACTGTTGACAGGCAATGCCCATTTCTGTATATATAAAAATGTATGTTGGTAAATATAAGAGGGGTTAACTCTGCCACTGTGTGACCGATCTCCATGAAAGTTGGCACATTACATGTTTTTTCATCCATAAGGTTTACCTGCTGTTAATTTTGTTGTAACTCCACTAAATGGCGCTGTAGAACAAAACTAAATATTCATGTCAAATGCAACCCGCAAAACTGGGCAGCTTTTTTGAATCTATATTGTTTAATAACTCCTCCACAAAGCCTTCTAGGACATTTAAAACTAAAATTCTGAGGCCAAAGGCATCAATGAAATGTTTTTTACTCCACAATCTGCAGGATGAGATCTTCTTGAACATTGTATTACGTTTTTGCTGGTTCAGCATTTCTTGATATTACCCCACCTGCTCAAAGATGAGCCGAATTTGCAACTACATGTGAATGGGAGAGGCAGAGGCAGTCAGAGACAGAGTTATTTTGAGACTGGGACAGAGAGGGAGGGATAGAGAGGGAAGGAGAAAGACTGACATAAAGGGCAGAACAACGTCTGTGGTGTTCTGCTAGTCTTATAAAAAGAATTTCCTTTTCCTTCAGTTCTCTTCAGCCTTCCATGGACTAAAAGAAATCTTACATATCTGTTGTGATGCTTATTCAAACACCCTCCATTCTTCTGTTAAGAATTAAGAATATAATTTCTATTAATATTTGGAGGGTTTTCATTTATTTTGTGGCAAATGTATTTATAATTAATTGTAAATACTAATATAATTTGTAAATAATTATATATGTTTTGACAATTTATGAACATAATAATTTTTATGTTTAATTTTTTTATAGGTTCATTAGCAACAGGTATTTAATTAAACCATCCTGTAGAGATCAAGATGTTGAATGGGGATATGCGTTTGATGTGCATCTAAATGCATTTTTCCCACTCCTTATAATTCTTCATGTGTTCCAGTTATTTTTTTACAACGGTATGTATTTTTGTTAAATGCTTGAAACAATCTCTAAATATGCTGTTTTATCAATTTCTTCTCTGTTGGTTTTATGTTCCAGTACTAATTAGCCAGGAATGGTTTATATCAAGATTCTTTGGAAATACACTTTGGCTTATAGCTTTGGGTTATTACATTTATGTAACATTTCTAGGATATAGTTGTGAGTATTTTCTTCAGTTTTTAGTTAATATATTATCAGTCTAATTATTGATCTCTTGATTAGCATCCTATTTTAGTAATATTATTTATTTGCGAACTACCAAGTATTGTTTTAGGACACATTACAAATTGAGATTGGAGAATTACAAAATGAAACGTGTAATTATTAGAAATATAATCATGTTTTTCTAAATTAGCTTGTAACATGAGTACGATTTTGCATTTAGATTTGTGCCATCACTCACCAATTTTCTTCAATAACAAATCCATTTATTAAACTAAAAATTGACCACTTTCCATTTCCTCATAAATTGGGTTAGTAAAGCGAGTGTAGAAAGAGTAACATAAGTGACATTCTACAGCCCAGGTTTTGAAAGGTACACCAAAATCTTGTGATTCCACCAGCATTTGTTTTTCCCTAGGAAATGTTTACACACTCATTGAAAATTTGTCCAGATATCTTGTTCTTATCATTTGTGTGATCGCATCATCTTTTAAAATCTCTCAGATTTGCAGTCCTGCGAAGATTCCTTTCTTAATTTTTGCCCCACTGACGTTTGGAAATTTTTCACAGATACTAGAATTCTCCAAAATTTGTTTTACCCATCATCTTTATCAGACAATTAATCCAAACTATAGGAAGAGGACAAATATGTTAGGATCAATGCCACTGACTTTTTGTTGTGAAGGAACAACATGCAAAATGTGTTTGGGTTATTTTTACATTTTCAAATCATTTTGATAGTAATATTAATGACAAACAGATACAGAGCAAAGAGACACCTGCTCTTCCATATGTAACTTATATACATGGCCTAAATTACAATTGTATATCCAGGAGTCAGAACCAAACACCATTTCGTCTCCCGCAACAGCAGTTAAGGAATGAGTTTGCTAGTCTGAAGGTATGGCTTTACTGTTGGAATTTCACACTGTCACCCTAAGAAAACTCATCTAACTCAGAAACTATTCGTGTTAGAGAAAATCTAAGCAACAGTTTGGAATCAGGGCATGACACTTAATCTTGAATATTTTGTTTTCTGATGATTTTGCATTGTTCATTAGGTAAGTCCTTATTTTGGGGAATAATTCACACATTTGCAATATTAAAAGTATCTTATTACAAAAATGATACGTGCTAGTGAAATTATAAGCACACATTTGGAATCAATGTATGATACATAGTAAAGTACATATAATTTTATTTTTGATAAGTTTTAATTATTCATCTGTGTTATCCAACAAGACCATTAGGCAACTTTGAAAACTAGTGGAGTATTATAATAGGATATTATGATACAAATATAGTTCAACATTTTATTCACAATGTAAAACTTTCTATACACTATAATTTTCAATTATTCATCCTATGAAAGGTAACAAACTGATGTTCAAAGTAGCTAATAGAACACTGTGGATGATTAGTACACTGGTTGCTTAATAATTCTTATCAGGGTGACCACTTTCTGGAAAAACAGGGAATTTCATTGCTCTAGAAAAGTGAGGAAAAAATGTGGGACTTTGTACAAGAATTGTTAGAAATCAGGGAAAATTTTTGGATGCTGGCTTGAATGTTTTTTTTAAAAATAGTGTATAAAAATGTAAAAAAAGGGGGGGGGGGAGAAAAAAAGAAGTGGAATTTTTTTTAAAAATCCACTGCCTAACTAGGAATAGTCATGGAAATTTGTTCCAAATAATAAGTGGACACTTCTCAGTTTCGTTAATTTTGGCTTTAGGTAATCAAAGTAGATCAATTTTAGTAAAGTTTAATATAGTGTGTAGTATTAGTATAATACAATGTGAGAATTTCATATGAAAAAAAGAGCACCCTGTTCGGCCTTAGAAGCTCAGATTCCTGTAGAAAGTCTTTGTAACTTAACAGTTTCATTACAACCTGTATGTCACCAGAACTTTGGGCACATTTCTAAGACTTAAGTGTTGAAGGCTTAGGAGGTCATAGCGTCATTTGTGAGCAGTGAATGCACTGCAGTTTTAATAGCCATCTAGAAGGTTAGGGTTCTGATGATCTAAGGCAGTTGTGATTGCAGGATCATGCATAAAACAGGTTCTAATAATAAGCACCCAAATAACTTAATATAAGTTCAAATCAAGTGAGTGATTTTGTGTAGTATTGCCCACAAAATCCGAATAATTTTATTTGCTACATGTCCTTCCTAATTCAGCTATGGTTAGAAAAGTTTCATTTACAAGATGACTCATGCGAGTTCTTCGAAGATTTTCAATTTTTAAAGATTTACTGAATAAGAAAGATAACTATTATTTTATAAAATATTTATGTTGAGATATTATTTTATAATCTCGTATGGTTATTTACATGATACAAAATCCGATTCATTTGTTTTAACATTTATTTGTCTGTCTGGGCTAATCTCAGGAACTGCTAAACTGATTATGATTTTTTTTTTTTCTTTCCAGAAAGGTAGAATATTTTTGTATTAATTAATGAAGAAACTTTGTTTTTTATACAAATTAAAAATTTTATTCCAACATTCATACAATTGTTTACGCATAACCTTCACGACAAGAGAATAGTTCTTCCTACATGAGATTTATCCATATTACCTTGCCTATCCCTTAAAGCAATTTGAACTGTGTACTCTTTCAGTTTTTCATGAATATATTGAAATTAATTAAATGTTTCTTATAATCCATAAAATTTCCCAGCAATTGCATTTTGAGTCAGTCTAATAGTGCAATTATGCTTTGAGAAATTGATGGTCAACATTTTTACAAGAAGTTTGCTGGGAGTATGGAATAATGTCTGTTAACAGCTCCCCATAGCAGTGATGGTAGTAACAATAATAATATAAGCAGAAATTGCAGAATGGGATGTGAGGGTTGGAAAGGAATGTGACAGATCTGGGCAAGATGGGACAGAGCAGCAGGATGGTACTGCTAAGCAAGAATAACATAAAATGCATTCCTGCTCTCCTGTTTGATAGATTGTGATTTATAAATTCCCAGACAATGCAGGCATCTTCAGCAGTTAAAAATATTTGTCACCTCTATTTACCTACTTATTGTGGAGTTTTTTTAGTGCCTAACATATAATGTGTCTCTTTTTTCACTGAATTCTGCGTTGATTTTTATGCATGTATTTTGTTGTTCTTTCAGGTTTGCCTATTCTTCATAGAACTCATGTGCTATTATATCCTTTGACTGCACTTGTGATAATATTCATTTTGACAATTGCTACAGGCTGGAATGTTTCTCAGAGTGTAATGAATTTCTACAAATATAGAGTATTGTGAATGTTGTTCAATTTTTATTAGACTATTAAGAATTTTGCAGATTCTTATTCAGACTGAGACATACAAAAGTGAGTGGCCCAATGTGGGGACAGTGTAAAAATGTAAATAGAATGTAAGTGGCTCATGTATTTGATAAATATATATTATACACAAGTGGATAATGTGTGCTATGTGACAAAGTGAATAAATCTTGCACTCTGTTAAATATTACTTAAGTGGTAGTGACTGATAAATTTGTTTGTTATAAATTCAAAAGGTACATTGCTTATAACCTACAGATCTAATGCAGAAATTACAGAAAATACACCTCAAAAAGTTGTTCTTGAAAGTTTTGGAGACAAAAATAAAAATTTATTTGTGTCTAAAATATTCATGTGCGGAATTGCTGTAATACTGAATTTAAAAATTAAGATATCAGTCAAGAACTGTTATTTAAAAATACCTTCATGTGGGTGTTTAAAATGCTTATTGCATGTATTTATATCTGTAACTTTTCAAAAAAGTATTATTTTGCATAAAAAGAAATTATGAGTTTGTTTTATTTTTAATAATAGCTTGTATTATTTAAACATAATTTGGGATACGTTTTGCATCGTATACACTGTTTGGAGAATTTCATAATGCAAGTTATTGACTTTCCTTTTAGAAAATTAACTTTTTTCTGCGACAATGAATTTGATATTGTCAATGAGATAAATAAGTTTTTAAAAAAATGTTATGTGTTTCTTTCGGAATATTTAATAGACTGATTAATGGAGTTTGCAGGATCATATGATTGCTAAGAAAAAAAAAGGTAATTTGACGATGAGATAAATATCTCGGTTAATTTTTAAAAATTCACCAAAGATTTTTGGGAAGAGCAATTTTTCTAATAGTAAGTCTAAAATAAACAAATGTGATTTCATTTTCTAAGCTGAAGATTGATTTTCCTTTATAATAGTGTTAAAAAAATTCCTAAAATTTTCATATTATTTATCATGATATATTTTTAATTTCAACGAAGATAATATAAATTAAGCCTCATTGAATATTGATTATCTTGGGGAATCCCAAGTGGATTTTATTCAAATTCCTTGGCTGATGAAAGCGCCAATGATGTTTTTCATTTTTGTAGGAATATCCTTTATCTTCTAATTGTCCTAGTCACACAGTTGTGTGTTATTTGGCTTGCAGAGTATGTTTTATAATTTAATTTTTTTACACAGAATTTTTAACATAAGCCTTTTCAATTGTATTGTGGCAATTCTTTTTATTTATATACTATGTTCAAGAGTTCAGCAGAATGTAATAAAAGAAAAAGAAACTTATCCTTTGTGAAAGATACTAATTATTGATTGTTTTTCGTATGTATCTAACCTCCATTATTCCTTCCTTGAACTTTTGAAGGCATTGAGACCATAAATGTAGAGATAGTTTAATAAAAAGTTGAAATTGTTTTGTATAAAGAAATTGACATTAATTGTTTGGATTGAAATATCAGAAAATATAGTAAAAATTTACATTTTAGATGCATTTCTTTGTTTAACATTTCAAAAGCTTATTTTAATCAAGATATTTGGGGTCAGAAAAATCAAAAATGTTATGGAAATTGAACATGTTTTTTAATCAATCACAGTATAAAAAATAATGATTAAGCAGAAATGAAAAGTAAATCATCATATTATTTAAAATGTTTCCTAAATATGTCTTTAACACTTTGTCTAAAGTTTGAAACTATTAAGGAAAATGTGCAAGTGGTGTCTGTCAGGTTACAAAATGGCAAGTGATGTGGTTATAAAAGCGGTTACCATAGCAAGAAATGTGGATAAACAATGTGTGTATTTTGATAAGATCAAATATTTCAATGATAACATGTTTCAATAATATTAAATATGTAGTTCATATGCAGTACATTGTAAATATGTAGTTCATATGCAGTATATTGAAAGAATAATGTAATGTAAATTTGTCCACAATTTGTTGAATATTTACTTAGTAACTACATTTGAAATACATTATTTTGAATGGTTTTATTAATGTGAAATGGGTTTGTATTGTGATAATGTGTTGGCATTAGTTCCATTAATATTTAATAGTTTCAAAATTAATAGTAACCTAAATGGGTGAGCTTTAATAAGCTATGCCTAAGTTGGAAACAATTTCCTTGATATTTAAGTGTGAGTGAAGCAGATTGATTGAAATGTGAAAGGTGAAGCAACCATAAGCTTCAGTAAGCTACCTTTCTATGATTAATGACATGTGTTTCCCTCACTAAATGGGGAAGTAATTAATTATAAGTATTAATTAATAGTTTCAATGTATTTTTTAAATTGCATTTTATTTCTCGTATAAATAGCATATGTGGAAGTCTTTCAAAACTTGTGTGAGTCTGTCTTTATGTTGGTGAACAACACAAGCTAACACCTAAAACATAAGGATTTTCCCAAAAATGAATACTTCTTAACTGAACTGGCTTGGCAAAGCCCTTCAAATTCGAAATTAATATTTTAATTTCGGGGGTACTTCATATTACTATTATGAAGGTAAAGATTTTTTCCCGTAATAAAAGCTGTTTCTTACAGTTAGGTTTTGAAATTATGTCATCTACAATTTTTCGAAAATTTGAGTAAATTTTGCGTGAAAGTACGGGCGGAAAAGTACCTGCTGTTTTAGTACCACTATTTTGTATTAGTTATACATTGAGAATTCGCGGTTATAGAATTCATCCAAAATAAAAAAAAGGGACTTGGTTTGGAAAGTAAGGTGACCGCACGTCAGAAGTTTGCTACAAAAAATATTGTTTGGACACGTTCCAGGCAAATAAAATTATTTTATTTCTTAATTTCGCTACATTGGAATATATTGCAATAATGATTGATCTTGCACACACACACACACACACACTCGTATTCACAGCGCTCGTCGACTGTCTTGGCTGTGGGGACGGGATTCAGTCGCGCCCCGCCGCAAGCTGACGAGTAGGTCTGCGCCGGATCTCGCCATTCAGCGGGGGAAGATCGCAGCGCTAGAAACATGTACTGCATTTACGGGACCAACGGCCTTAGGAGTTGTCGCGCCGGGAATCATTTATCAACCAAGCGATCGGGGAATATTCATTTTGGAAGAAAAGTCCTACGAATCGTTTATGTGCTTGTGTTTTTCACTGACGTACGTTCGGACGTACAAACAGACATCTTTGCCGAAAAGCAATTTTCCCAATAGCAATTTTGCAACAAGGACCTACAAATCGGATTCTGACTACATTACATTGCTTCGTGTAGTCACAAGAAAAATCTACTGTTACGATATCAGGGACGAAATAAAACGAAGTTTTCAATAAAAAAAACAACACAATTTCTGTCACAGCATTAAATATCTTTCTCGGTCCTTGGTGTGGAGACATATCTATACCTAGATACTAGGTATACACTTACGTATGCGAGAAAATAAAAGCCCTAATATACCTGTGCACGAGTATTTAAACTTTTATATTGTGGTAAAGCTTATAAAAAAAATTAGTAATAAATTTATAAAATTAAGCCGCTTTTAAAAAAGGCAATAAAAAGATATTCAAAATTATTGGCCAATTTCTCTTTCGTAAGATTTCTTTAAAGTATTAGAGATGCTTTTCTATGTGCGGAGGGAAACTTCAGGAAAAAAACCAAGAGTTTTGAGATTTTGAAGGTAAATTTATAAAATCAAAATCACGGAAACTTCCATTTTTTCCTTTTCGTAAAGACGTTGCTTCATGAATTAATCAAAATGAACCACCTATTTGAATATTTTTAGATTTTTCAATAGCTTATGGCGTTATTGAGTATTTTGCTCACACAATTACCTTCAAATGGAATTCGTGATATTATCCTAGATGAGATATCTTTGTACATCGATCACAAATTGTAGAAATCTCCAATTGGGTCGAAAGAGCATTCTTTTACTCATCTTTTCTATTCTTTGCATGGACAGGGTTCGATCATAGGCCCTGCCTTCTTTCTTATGTAAACGATTCGTCCATTAGAAAGGCAAAACAGATATATTTGCTGATGACAAGAATATTCTTTGCAAAAAAGAAACAATAAATAGTTCGATTTCATTGATTCAAATTGGTTTCGTAATAAATTAATACAGGGAAGGAAACACTATTTCTATGCAATTTTACATTTCCTTTGAATTAAGTTCATTATGTTACGCCAAGTTTCAGTAAGTCTGTCAGCCTTCATGCGCATCATTGCTTTTTTCTTTTACAAATGCATATTCTCGCCTGAGATATGGCATGTTATTCAGGGGAAACGCATTCTTTAGTACCTGGAGTTTTACACTACGGAAAAATTATTCGATTAATAAGCAAATGTCATCCACCTGATTCCTAGAAGTCTCTTCATTGAACTTGGAATCATATCAGTGCCTTCACTATTTATTTACGTTTCGTTTGTAATTTTTGTCAAAAACTGACTCATTTAACGCTGTGAAAATATTTTCTTGCTATACTGGTATTTACAATTACGAAACACTTCATAGAAATCACATTCGTCAGGGACCAGCATGAGCGTAAGTGAGTCCTAGAGAATTTCTAAGTTTTTGGCTGTATTGTGTGGTTGTCGATGCGTGTGTGACCTATCACATTTGTTATTTACAATGTGTTTGGCTTTATTTTGGTTTCTTTAGGTTCTGGCTGCGAATTTCATCGACAAATTGGATTAAAAAACCACTATTTAATCAACACACATCAAGTCGCTACCTTTTCTTTTTGATAATGATTCTAAGTAAATATTATCAGGGGCGAATTTTGAGACGAATTTGGGGTGGAGAAATTAAAAATATCGTCTTCGAATATGTCCTATTACACATTTTGTAAACTGTCGCAGGTTACACTCAGCTCATGCTGCAATACGTTTTTATTCGTTTTAATGGATAACCCGAAAATATTTTTGCTTGAAAGTGTCGTGACAAGTTAGTAGTTACATTAATAGTTACTGAAAATATTAAGGGATGAAATTTCCCTCCCGGTGGATCCGCGACTGATATTATCATGATCTTATCGATGATGCTAAGGTGCTGCTTTGCAATAAAATAAAATGTGCGAGCCCTTGGTTCCACGTGCCCTTTCATCGGTTATGAAAAGTGCCAACGAATGCCGAGCCCCTGTGCTATTAGAGTAGAAGTGGCTCCTTCCGATTATTTTTAAAAACTGTCGGTTTTTTAAATATTTATTTTATAAATTTGTATTCATTATTACCGAGAGAAATATTACCTACATTAAACTTTCATAATCGTTTGAAAAGACAACAGATTGTTCATAAACACAGTCCAAAAAATGTTCGTAATTTTTCACGGAGAGGAGGAACTTTTAAGATTTAGTTGACCAGATTTTAATACAATTCAATTATTATTTTTTCAATGTATTAATTTTAATAAATATATGGTTATTAAAAATATAAATAAATATTGCACTTTTTTATCATAGGTATTTTAAAAAAATTGTATGCAGTTCCCTGTGCTAAATTCAAAATTTGATGGTTGAATTTAAATATTCAACTCACGTGCTTAAAATGTTGCTTTTTATTCCCGATGATTTTAATGTTAATATTTTTTTGAAACGTATTTTCAGTATCTTTTGCTTGGCAAGTATAATGACTGAATAGTTTTTGTCATTTCTTGCATTATAATTGGGATACAACTTAGCCCTGGTGCCAAAAGAAACCAGTTTATTTGGTGACCTACGTAATATTTGGGCTTAGATTTTACACAAATAAAACTTTGAAGATCTCTTAGCTTTTACACAAATAAAGTCTTGAAGATCTACAAAATTGTAGTGGCTCATATACAGGTGTCCCATTTAACTTGACAACTTGAAATAACTAAAAAAATACGCGATGTACGAAAAATTGAGCTGAGACCAAATTTTAACAGTTTTGAAGGGGAAATCATTCTATGCTAAAATCAGCACACTCCCTACCCCCAGCGGGTGGGGCGGTGGGAAATCGTAAATAGTGGGAAAACATTGAAATCGTAAATAGGAACCCCCATTTTTTATTTCAGATTCGGATTATACGGACAAAAATACATAAGTTTTGTCTGAAACTTTTTTCTGATTTGTGATAGGTGGAGCTGTAATCACAAAAAGTTAATTTCCGAAGATTTCCGACAGTAATTGGAGTGGTTTTGAGTGTGGCCTCAGAGCACACCCGTCAATTTGTTGGTAGCGTCTCTCCATGGTCCTTGCCTACAGTACTCCAGAGGAGATCCGATATTTGTTAAACATTTACCTTTATGAACTAACATTCCTCCTTGCTGCATCATGGATTATGTAAATGTGCAAGAAAAAATTGAAATGATTTTCATCTACGGCAAAGCTGGGAGAAATTTCGACGCTGCTGTTAATTTATATGCTCAACGTTTTCGTGACAGAGTACGATCGCGTTCTTCTTTCATTAGAATTGTTCAACAATTCTTTACTGACGGAAGTGTACAACCGAAGAAAAGAACACGTAGAGTTTCTGCTACTGGAGAAAATAATCAAATATCAGTACTGGCTGCAGAAGCTCATTAATCCACATGCGAGTGTTCGATAAATATCTCAAC